GTTCCACGGCAACTATATATATATATATATATATATATATATATATATATATATATATATATATATATATATATATATTCTTTTTGCTACATATGTTTGTCTGTACAAGTTGAACTAGATGTATATACTTGTCCACTACCTCTAACGCTTCACCTTGTGATGACTTGTTCAAATTGAACTCTACTGTTTAACATGACCTTAGTCTTTTTCTTGGTCATCCCGAGTCCGACTTTCAAATTTTCTCAATTGCTTTATTTCATTTGCTGATTTACTGAGAACAATATCGCCTGCAAATCTTAGATTGTTTAGGTATTCGTCTCCTATTTTGATACCCTTCCGTCCCAGGCTAGTTTCTTGAATATTTCCTCGAGGCAAACTGTAAACAGTTTTGGTGAGATGGTGTCGCCCTGTCTAACACCTTTTTAAATTAGTATTTTGTCGGCTTCCATGTGGATCTTGATGGTTGCTGCTTCACCTCTGTATATATCTTGCAATATTTTACAATATACCTTCTCTACTACCCGTCTTCGAACATCTTCCAAAACTGCAGGTATTTGTACTGAGTCAAATGCCTTTTCATAATCGATGAATGCCATACACAAGGGTTCCCTATATTCGTTTATGTTTTCCCTTATTTGGGTGAACGTGTGGATGTGGTCTGTTGTTGAGAATCCACTGCGGAAGCCAGCCTGATATCCAGGCTGGTTAGAATCCAGACAGTCAGATATACGAGCTGTGATGACTTTTGTAAACAGTTTGTAAAAAACTGAAAGGAGGCTTGTGGGTCGGTAGTTATTTTTAGATTCTTTCTATCCCCTTTTTATGTATCCATTTTTTTCCAGGCTTTCGGAGTTTTTCCATTCAGAAGGCATTTGTTAAAAAAGATTGGCTAGTTTCACTGTTGCAATTTTTCCAGCATCGTCTTATAAGGTCTACACTAATTCTGTCTTCAGCTAGTGTTTTCTCTCTCTCTCTGCGTGCCTTTAAGCGCTCTTTTTATTTCTTCTTTTGTGATATTAGGTACGTCTCTAGTTACCGCGTTTGCTTCTATCCGTGGCTGTTCATTTGAGTTGTATAGATCCCTGTAAAAGTCTTCCACTATTCTTATGATTGCATTCTTATTGTATCTTACTTCTCCGTCTGGTTTCTTTATTGCATACATTTGATTTCTCCCTATTCCGAGTCTCCTTTTAGCTGTTTTCATGCTGGTACCTGCCATCACGGTTTCATTTATTATTTGAGTATTGAATTTCCGTACATCTTCCCTCTTCTCTTTATTTATAGTCGTTGTCAGTTCATCTAACTCCATTTTGTACCTGTTTGACGTTACTTTCATGATCCATCGTTTTTACTTAAGCTGTTTAGTTTCTACCGAACGCTTACAGTAATGATGATAACAATGATAATAATGATAAAGATAATAACAATAGTAATAGTAATAACAATGATAATGATACTACTACTAATAATAATAATGATAATAACAATGATAATAATAATGGTAATTATAATAATAATGATAATAATAAATATAATGATGATGTGGATGAGGATGATGATGATGATAATGATGATGATGATAATAATAATAATAATAATAATAATAATAATAATAATAATAATAATAATAATAATAATAATAATAATGATAATAATAATAATAATAATGATAATGATAACGCCAGTAATGATAATAGTAATGATAACAATAATGACATTAATAATGATACTAATGAGAATATGATAATGATAATAATAAAATAAGAATATGTATCAGAATTGGAATAAGTATAATAAGAAGTGAGAATGATACGATGATCAGTCTAATTGCAACGAAAATGATAATAACAACAATAAAGAAGGCATTGAAAGCAATAAGATTTCTGATAATACCGATAAGGGTAATAATGGTAATAAAGTGATGATCAGGATAATGATAGCAATAATAGCAAATGAAAATTGTGTTAATGGTTATAATTGTGAGAATAACAATGACAATCCTGATTTATGTGTTATTGATGCAAATGAATATCGTTATCGTTGGCATAATCAGATTTTGATATTACTAAGATAATTAGTTAAATTAATCAGATATTGAAATTATTTTATTGGATTATTTAATCTTTCTACTCGTCTTCAATTTTGGTGTCATCGCTATTTCCATCACCGTCATTATCAAAATAAGTGTAAAAGGTATGAATGAAAATTGATATATTCACAATACAAGGCATGTATTTGACCGGTTTCGCATATATATTCGTCAGAAATACATAACGAAGATATTTTCGAAACCTGTCAAATACATATCTGGTATTGTGAAGATATTCATTTTCATTCATATCTTTATTGCATCAGTCGAAGGTGATTGTTGAATGTTGCAATTGCCATCATTATCATCGGTGTTGTTATTCTAAGCAGCCCTTCGATATTTCCTCTTTCTTTCCAGTGTTCTGTCTACCTCACCTCCTAGATATACCCCTTCCCCAGTTCCTATCTCCAT